AGCAGTTCAAGGCAAAACAGGACTGGCCATGTGGGATATGTTCTGTATGTTTTTATGACCTTCCCACATTTTTCAGTATGATGTTGACTTTCAGAAGGTCGAGTAAGCGCCAACATTGGAGTCACCTACTTTTTGGATTTGAGAAGCATAGCAGGCTGACCAAAGTAGCTTCCAGAGCCAATGTAATGTTCTAGTTTTGCTGGGGAACAACAACCAGTTTTGTCCCTTGTCTGTATGGGCATTACAGCATCTACTAATGCTGCTGACATATAATATCGCTCAGGTTCTATTTTAGAAAAGTCACCGTTATTACATTCAGGAAAGCACACAGAGCTATTTCATAGCTGAAGGCTAAAACCCACCCTTCCACAATCTTTAATATTACCTTCTTCACTGGTAACACCACTAGGTCACATCTTAGACCATTTTTGAACACTCATTGTTCACACTCCTTGTAATGCTCCTTACTCCCAAACCACGCCCAACCAGTCTTTATTTTTCAAATTAGTTTCTAATGATCGCCCGTTGCAAGTTTTCTTTTGAACTCTGCACCATAAATATCCCTGATGTTAGACTGCACACAGACCTTATTCTAAAAGCTCTGCTCAGTACAAGAAGGAGAAGGGCCACGTATCTTTTTGAAATGACAGTGAAACAGCTATTCTAATAGCTGAGCACTTAAGTGTTCTCTTTAGCTGAACTGGAACACTTTCAATTTAAAAAAAAACTTGTTTTGCTTTCAGGAAAATGGTTCATTTTCTGCTCTTCCATTATCATCTGTAGTGTTATTTCCCCTTAATTTCCCTTTGCACCTGGAATTAATTTTCATCAACCCTTCCCTTAACTATTTGAATGGCCCATTTAAACTTTCCCCAACTTCTAAAGGTTTATTTTCCAGTGAAAGATAAGGCATGAAATGCAACAGTCAAAATGCAGCCTTGCCAAACAGGGATGATTACCTCTTTGGTTGACAACAGCTCCCACTGGGTAGATGCATTTGCCATTGCAGCAATGGCACCGAAT